TAATAATTAACAATTCTATTATTTATTATTTTTATAATTGTCTAATAGGAAATGCAGAACCTCCAAGCACAAGTAGAGCAGCTAAGTAATGATGAAGGTACATTATAATAATAAATGTTTTAATCCATTAAAAATGAAGCTCATAGAAAACTTGAACATATCGAAAAGCAAAATGACATATTGTTGAAGGAGAATGAAAGTATTATACTGATTTTTTCCTGTCATATTCTAATACATTAAATACTAGAGTTACATATAGAAGTGTCTATGCTAAGGAAACAGAATCTCTGGAAACAAAAACAAGATACTAATCCTATTGTAGACAATTTAATGTAAATCTGACTACATGTAAACTTGTTAATAGGTATTCCAAGATGATATTTATGGTGAGATTGTCGTTGACCATCCACTGATAATGAGAATTGTGAAGACAAGACAATTTCAGAGACTAAAAGATATAAAAAAACTAGGTACTAATAACAAAAATAATGTATTTAAATCAAATGGTTTTCAGGTTACACTTACCTAAATATACCAAAAGCAAATTATTCAAGACTTCAGCACAGTATTGGGTAAAAATAAGAATTTACAATATATAAACATATAGCCTGATAATTTTAGAATGTATTTTCTTGCTGGACAGTATGTTAAGCAACTGCGAAGGAGACAACCTGAGCTGAATATTACTGATTCTGATATTTTGTGTGTACAAATTGCTGCTCTTTGCTTTAACCTGGGTCATGGTCCTTTCTCTCACATTTTTGAAATGTTCCTGGATGAAATGAGTAAAAAAGATAATTCCGACAGGCCTTGGAAGGTAGCTAGCTGTAAATTTATAAATTTGATTAATTTTTATAGAATGTATCTGAAGCATCAGTTAAGATGTTTGATTACATGTTAGAAGATAATGAAGACTTAATGGCTAATTTTGAAAAACATTTTGATAATCCCAAGGAAGATATTGCATTCATTAAAGAACTGATTCAAGGAACAGGATATGTAAGTAATTACAAATTTATCACCTTGGCCTATTACTATTATAATTATTATAATATATCTGTAGGAACATCATAAAGATAAAAAATTTCTCCATAAGGTACAATGTATGATACAGTTCAAGTGTAATATCATAATTAAATGATACATTAGATTGTATATAATAAAAAGAGTGGGTTAGATGTTAGTATGATTGACAGTACAATGAGAGATGCTGCTGTATTGGGAAAGAATCTTACTTTTCAATGGAGGTAAGATACATGTACATGTATATTTGGCAAATTTATGGTCACATGCATGTCACTGACATTAGCATGTTCAAAATGGCCTGGTGATTATTTACATTTACAGGGTATTTTTTAACCAAGTTCGTGTCTTGAGATGTGATGATGGTGAATTACATAAGTGTTTTTCAAAAGATGTCAGCACAATAATTACAAATTATAAGAAACATAATATTTTTAGGATTTGGAGACATGCAATGATTTGTTTAGAACTCGTCATGCCCTCTTCAGAGAATTGTATTATTTACGCAAGAACAGGATTGCTTCTGTAATGTAAGTGCATTATTATGCACTGCATAATAACTGCATGTACATACTTTTAGGATAAGAAGAATATTAGTCAAATCAAATGGAATTCCAATAATCAAAGATGACATCAGGTAATAGGTTAATATGTAAATAATACTGTTATACATAGATTATACAATACACTGTAGACGAGTGACTATATCTGATGCTACTAAGAGCATGTCTGCTTATACTCAGCTTAATGATGGTATTCTTAGTGTTATCAAACATTTCATTGATGACAAAGAAGTAGAGAATTTACTATACAATTATCATAACTGATTTCATACAGGTACAAGAACTATTGAAGTGTTTGGAATCATTAGAAGTTATTGGACAGACTGGTTGGGTTACACTAACAAATGATTGGAATGAAGATAGAATAGTAAAATGATTTACAATAGATAACTGTGCTTGATAAATATAATTCTAGAAACAGCACATTGTGCGAAGCATTAAAAGTTGTGATGTTACTGATCAACTGATACTTGATGTAAGGCAAAAGTTGAAACTTTAATTTTATATTTACATGTAATTAAAATTATACATGTAATGTAGCCTATTAAAACTGGATATGAGAATTGGAATGCTCTCACACAGTACTATTATACTAGTGATGGTAAGACAGGACAATGGAAACAAGAATGGGTCAGAATCATTTTGTAATGTAAAATGTATCACTGAATGCATTTTTACAGGCACAACCACCACAATTCGCTGATAAACAACTACGTATACTTCTTGTAAGTGGTGACAGAGTCCTTATAAAGGAAGTACAAAAGTAAATAATTTATTACACATATTGTAATAGCCAATATTAATAGAACACTACAAAAATTAATAACTGATGAACAACTAGTTCCAGGGGTATGAGTAACAATATTAATAGAAATACATAATAAAGTACATATTTCAGGAAATTTATCCTGATGAAGAGAATTACAATTTGATGCCACAAGTCCCACCACTTAAAAAAGAAGAAGCAACAGAACTCAAAGAAGAAGTAGCAAGTGCATTAGCAACAGTTTAAAAATTTAGATCTACATATGATTAATAGTCTACACTGTAGTTATTGTAGTTAATATATATGTACATGTAATGCTAAAGCTGACAGTAGTATAGTTTGTACTATAATTATTATTGTGTTGTTTGGCATTAAAAACTAGTGCAAGTAGCATTTGATATACTGACAAATTGTAATTGATGTCATTGTGATCTACCATGCTTAGTAGTAATTGAACTAATGCTGTACATGTACATGTATACTACCTCAAGTAAGTATAA